GAAGGACAAGGAGGAGGAGGATAGAAGGAGAAGACGAAAGTAGGTGGAGGAGGAGGAGAGGAGAAGAAGAAGACAAGAGGAGGAGGAGGAGAAGGACGCGACGAAAAGAGGAGGAGGAGGAGAGAAGAAAAAGAAGACGAGAGGAGGAGGAGAGAAGAAAAAGAAGACGAGAGGAGGAGGAGGAGGAGGAGGAGAAGGAGGAGGACGAAGACCTGCCGGTAGTGTGGGATGACGGGAAAAAAAAAGTAAATAATAAGAGGACGATGAAGGAGGAGGAGGAGGAGGAGAAGAAGAGAAGGAGAAGACGAAAGTATGTGGAGGAGGAGGAGGAGGAGAGAAAAGAAGAAGACAACGTGAGGAGGAAGAGGAGTGAAGAAGAAGAAGACGAGAGGAGGAGGAGGTCGGCTGCCCACGAGGAGGAGGAAGAGGTTGGCTGCCCGTGAGGAGGCGAAGGAGGTCGGCACCTTTACGATGGGCAGATCGAGGAGGACGTGGCAGCTCAACGATGGGCAGAGCGTTGGGAGCTCCACGCGAGGAGGAGGAGGAGGTTGGCTACGCGCGGAGGGCATCTGGATGACGACGGGCCAGGGGCAGCTCGATGACGACGCGCCAGAGGCAGGTCAATGGCGACGGGCAGGTTGATGACGACGGCCAGCTCAATGACGATGGCGGGGCTTCAAACTTCGTGCGCGGAGAGGATAATCCCCCCTTCGAATTCGAATGCGGGTTCGTAGCCCGCCAGGGGGGATGTGACAAGGCCTTTTTCAGCGACTGATCCCAGCCACCGATCTTCGCAGATCGGCGGCTGGGATCAGTCGCCGAAAAAGGCCTGCCCCTCCCTCCTAGGAAGTCCATTTTTTTTTTTCAAGCACCAGGCATCTGGGGAGGCCTCCACTGGCCGAAAAAGGCCTCCCCTCCCCCGCGCGCGAAATTGCGCTGGGCCTGCCCGTCGCCCAACCAGGGGACCCAACCAGCCGGGCCGCCCGGGAGCCCTACCGGACGAAGGCAGGTCCTCCGGGTGGTTCGGATTTTAACACAGTTAATTTTTATTTATTTTTGGCCCAGCCGGGCAAGTGGTCCCGGCCCGCTCTGGTAGCCTAACTGCCTATCCACCTGCATATCCACCTGTCTATCTATTTGACCGTCCACCTGCCCATCTGACTGTCTATTCATTCTGCCGATTCCTTGCTTTCCATCTGTCAGCTTCTCTCTGTGTACTCACTAGCTGTGATCTGGCTGTCTGTCCATCTGTGCATGGGTCTATCTATCTGTCTGCATCTGTCCTTCTGTTCGTCCTCTGATCGGAATGGCTGTGCGCAACTTCTCTTGCAGGTTTTTTTTTTTTTTTTGCGCCTGCACCTTAGAGCAGTCTGCTTCTGTTCATCTGTGTATAGCTCATCTGTCTGTCAGCGACTCTGCGCCTGTCTGTCTGTTTGCCTTTTGATGGGAATGGCTGTGCACAACTTTCCCTGCAGGTCTTCTTTTGCTCCTGGAAGCGTGTTTAGAGAAGTCTGCATTGGCTCTGCATAGCTAAGGAGAGCACAGCTTTGGTGCCGTGTAGTCCCTTTGTGACATTATACAAGATGACATCATTCGCTGATCTCCGCCGACAGGGGCCTGTGTTTATTCTTACGCTGAAAGGCACTGATGAGCACAGGCTGAACCCCGACACGATGCAGCTTATCAATAAAGCACTGGATGAAGTCGAGAATTCGCGGGATGAGGCAGCGCTGGTGACCACCAACGACGGGAAATTTTATTCCAACGGTCTAGATTTGAAATGGCTGCAGGCCAACCGAGGCCGCAAGAAAGAGTTGTTCGACAACTTTCATGCCTTGCTTCGCCGATTTCTTTGTTTCCCGATTCCGACCGTGGCAGCAATCTGTGGGCACGCTGCAGCAGGCGGGTGCATGATTGCCCTCGCGCACGATTACAGAGTGATGCGCAGAGACAAAGGCTTCATCTTCATCATGGAATATGATCTTGGCGGGAAAGCGGTACGATGCCGGAGGAGCAGAAGCAGCCGGCATTGTTGACAAGGCAGTTGAAGGCGGAGAAGGGCCAACCCTGCCGGAGGCAGTCAGAAGAGCGACCGAGCTGGCCAAACGGAAATGGGATCGGTCCATCTACCAGGTCCTCAAGCTGGAGATGTACAAGGACACAGTCAGCTGTCTTGACTCGGGCGACTCGGGGTATGGCAAAACGCACGGCTTGTAGCAAAGCAGTTGAGAGCGAATATGCTCTGACCGCCCAGCAATATAGATTGGAGCATTGTCCCCCCCCCCAAAAAAAAAAAAAAAAAAAAAAGGTTGGTTACGGAAACCAGGCGAGGATGCCGGGTGGGGGTCGCTCTCTGGTTCGAAATGAGGTTGCGATGCGTGCGAGCCTTGTGAGGTATGGCCTTCGTGCAGACATACAACTACCATCTTCCCCCGAGCACAGCGCACCCTCTTCTGTTTTTGCCTCCATGGGACTGGAATGACAGCTTGTATGCATTCATAATCAAGGTGCGTTGTGTTCGAGGGAAGACAGCGGCAGAGATAGCGTACCGGATTAGTAGCGTTTCTCTGCTTGATTTGTCGACGTAGGCGTATACAGATGGCGCACCGGGCACAAGGCGTGTTCATTCAAAACCTTCACCAACTTTTTTCACCGGCTTTTGTAAAGATTCTGTAGTACTGTACCGATTCTGGATTTAGCGATTGATGGATTGGTTAGCGTGTAAGCAATTGTTCGGGTTCTTGTTCCAGATGTCTGTTGAGATTTCAACGAGTACAAAACGGGGACTGCATTGAATGCGAACCACAGTTGCATGGGCCTTCGATGAATCATAGCTGGGTAACCAGCCCGGAAATCATACCTTGATGTGGTGACCCGTGGATAAACCGAAGCATAAGCAGTTGTGCTGGATGAGAGCGGACTGTGGAACCACTGCCTGTGTGGCGGATGCCTTGTGCGGTGTTGCATGTGTGTGTGTGTGTGTGTGTGTGTGTGTGTGTGTGT